AGAAGGTGACAACTTTGATGTTGAATGCCTTCCTCTGAGGCATTTATTGAAAAATTCCCCACCTCTGCATATTAAATTTGAAATAAATTTAATTTACGTAAAAATTTGCGATATCGTTTAATTTATAAAATAAGTGCAAAGGTTAGGGTTTTTCATTAATAGATAAATTCTTCATGAAACTGATATTTTCAATTTTTAAACATATTTAAAACAAAAATTGCCCAACGTGTCTTGAATTAAGTTATAATATAAACTTTAAGTAAATTGTATTAAAACATATAGATTGAATACTACTACGTAAGAGGAGCGGATATCGATAGAGATCTGAGAGTCGATTCAGTCGAAAAATACATTAAAGATCGTGCACTGAAACTGTTCAACATAATTAAATAATAACCTAATACTCTACAACCTAAAAATACAATGAAATCTGATAAACACAGGCAGATACAAAAGCATTAGATCCATTATTTCATAAAAGCTCCGTATTCAGTTATTCTTAGTGTGACTTAAAAATGTCCACAGGTAAAATAGAGTCAAGATGATGAATCACCAACAAAAAATTAATATCTCTACATCACTTATTTTAATACACAACCAACATTAAAATATAAACATTTTTGATAGGTAATAATTGTTTAATCCATGTTGAAACAAATATAGTCTTATCAAATAACATCAACTTAATATGATATTTTAAATATTATTAATTAGTAAATTAAATAGAAAACATGAAAACTATATACGTTATCATTTCAAATATTATTTTAAATAAAAGTGGTAATTCCTCAATTACAAATATGGATCACCAATAGTGATAAGTTCATTCAAGATGACAATGCAATTTCTCTATTTGACCCGAGTTCATCAATTTTACATCATTTTTTCTACATACAAAAATAATTCTATTCTTATCATAAAATCCTCTTCTCAACAAATATACAATAGTTTCATACGATTTATAAAGAATTAATGAATTAATATAGAAGTAATTCAATTAGTGTACATTCCCTATAGAGCACAATTGCACACGCCACTATTAAACTATTTAACTAAAACGAGCAAACAATTTAATATTTATAATAAAAAAACTACAAGAATATCTACAATATATACTCTACTCACAATGTAGGTGATAATTTGGATCGCGCATGACATAAGAGCGTGACCGTCTGATTTATTGTTAATGTGTGAAGACTATATATTAAAGTGACGTACAGTCAGTCGATATGCACTTCTGCAAGTAGTGATTATGCTACAGTTGATGTAGGTAGTTACAGATATTTGCACATCTAAATACATTTTTATCGGCAAAGAGTTAGTGATATTAACCACCTTATTAAGTACCTTATTACTTGACTTAATAGACATACATAGTTCACATATAGTACTAGAGATCTTTAAAGTACATAAAAGTGGTTAACTTGATGCCTTTCTTACCATTTATATATGTAGATTCTGTGCATACGATACGGTTCTAATGTGTTTTTGTGAACAACACCAATACTTTTGAATACAGAGGTCAGTCTTTTGTCTATTGCAAGTCAGTAGGTCAGTATTTTGTCTATTGACGCAAGTTTTAAAAAAATGTGCAAACCAAACTGTTTCGAAATTGTACTTTCCGGTACTTGTATTTAGTTATTTAATATACAGTGAAAGCTTTCTTGAGCAGACATTAATAGAACCAGCAATTCTGTCCAGTTAAGACAACGTACTTTGTATGAAAACTGACAATTAAAGAATAGTATCTACCAGTTAGTATTTACCAGTTAAAAGGTGTACGTTTGTAATAGCGTTTGTGTGACAGAGCTTACACTGCAATAATAAAGCTTTATTTTATGTTTATATATTATATGTTATATAATTATTATATATAATGTAAATATAATATATTTTTTATTTTAAATGTGTAATACTCTCTTTTACATTACATACAAGTATGTTCTTTATTTTTTATTTATTTTTTTTATATAAAAAAATGTATTTTTTTTTTAAATGAATTACTAAAACTTCCTCTTACTCTATTCTTTGTTTTAAATAAATTTTTAAATAAACCTTCAGAGTAAATAATTGTTTTTCTACGTAAGACAATGTAGCAACACTTTTCTTGAGAACTAATATCTCATGTACTTTTGAGTAGTAATCAATCTCAATTTGGGGCATTTTCAATTTCTGTTGCTTTAAGTATACAAATTGTTATTTTGCAGATTAGTTCTCGCCGACAAAATAATCTACAAAAGCGATAGCAAATATTTTTGTTTACATTCTGTCTATGTCTATACCCTAAAGAACTGGAAAATAGAGGTACCGGCTACTTTTACACACACAAACATTTCATATTTTCACATATAAACTAATTTCATTAAGTAATAAAATTTGCTTTCTAAATTATTAAATTTTCTACATTATCAAATACTTACACACAAGCATATCAACTCATACATTATTAGATTTCAGAATGCTTCTTATGAATTGTATGTCATGCAATATTTTATAGAACAATAATCGTTGAAATGAATTATAGTTGGCACTTTTACAACTTCTGTGGAAGATATCAAAGCAAAAAAAAATTTTGCAAAATTTTTCGGTATCTGAACACCTTGAACCTATTCGAAATTTTCGAATAAAAGTTCAGTATCAAGGCTAGTCAAAATATTGTGCAAAACTATTTGCATAATTGCACACACGGGTAAAGTTTTTTTGGCGTCAATCTCACTTAAATAATTAATTTGTTTAGAGACTCTTCTGCCTATTTCAGCAGCTGTACTAATATTTTTCACACCTCAAAATGGCTCTCCCCATGCGCCGCTGTTTTCATTAGCAAAAGCGCAATTCAAAATTTTGCGCATGAATCAAGTTTTATTTATTAATTTATTAATTTAAATTACGATATTCTAAGCAATACTCTCATTTTTTATTTATATAGATCTTTTAATGTCACTTAAGAATTTTTTTTATTTCAATGTAATCAAATTTGTAGTAAATTCCTATCAAAATATGGGTGGGTTGCACCCTGAATGAATTCCAAATAATTCAATAGTTTTTCATGATTAACAGACGATAAGACTTCCATGTCAAGAACATCAATTAACTACATTAATTAATTAACTACATTAGTCTACTTTTATTATTGCTATTATTATATATAGAGTTTTCACATTCAATTTTCAGTTGGAATTTACGTATCAGAATAATAGACCGACCTAGTGTCTGATTTGTTGTTGCGTTTTTTTTTATACTCACTTTTTGCAGTCAATAAGAAGAATCTACACCCAATATAAGAGACTAAACCACCCTTTAAAAATAAATAATAACAATTGTTAGTCATTCATTCAAAGGTAAAAGTCCAACTTCTAATAACACGCTTTCAATAATCAACGGCAAAAGTTAAAGGTAATAGGCTTTAATATTTAGAAATTTTAATTCATCTAAACCACACTGTTTATTTATATGGTGTATTTATAATTATATTTATTATAACATACTAATAATATTATATATATTATATAAACTGTTAACATGATAGATATTATAGGATCTTGGGTTTCGATACCTTCATTTGTAGAGTGGAACACTAGAAGAAACGAAATATAGTTAAAGGCATTAATAAGACCTGTACTCTAAAGCTGTTTTCCAATCAGGATCAATAGTGAGAAGTAGTTAGTGCTATAGGTTGTTAATGAGGCGTACTTGAGTTCTTTTAGTATTATATTGTTAATTCAATTTCATATAATATATTATGAACTGTAATTACAAGTTTTTCAAAAAATATTTTTATATCGTTTATTAAATAAAGCAAAAAAAAAATATAAATGGATAAATAAATTATAAACAATATAAAACACTAAAAAGAAATTTTTATATATCTTTGAAAGAAAAAATTATATTCCAAAACTTGTTCACTATTTCTTATTAGATCTATTTATATAATTTTATTTACGTTGTTATTAAAAAATAGGTCAAATATATAAACGAATAAAAAAATAATATGCGAATTTCATCCGAAAATTTTCTTCCATTTAAACAAAGGAATTTTTAAAACATATTATGTATATATATATATATATTATAATATTCAAAATCATGATGTTTTCAAAACAAAACAATGAAGTGACAATTCAAAATAAATTTGGAATTTTATTTATTTCTTAAAATCGGAATTTTAAAAATATTAATAAGACGTCATCTTTTATTATTATGCTTTAATAAAACAAAAATCCAAAAACCTAGTTCGTACTGTCATAAGATAATGCATATTTGTTATATTAGTTGTATTCTAGAGGTACAGAAATTATTCTTTTAAAAATACTGAACTAAACACATCTAAAATAATAAACAATATAATATATATTATATATAAAACAATATGTTAAAAAAATTTTTTATTGATGTTTGACACTTTCTATTACGTATTAATGTCTCTATCTTAAAAGAACTATTTTTCCAAATTCCGATATAGTCTCTATCAGTTATACTAAACGCCTCATATATAATTATATATAAGTATCATTAAAAACTTTCAATTTCTTTTCATTGATATATAATGGAATCATACTCGTACTGTAAATTCCTAGTAAATGTCTCGTATGTATTTATATACAGTTCACTCTACAAAGTTCAACACTTTTGAATGAATCTTATTACATAAACGTAGTTGCATTTCCGTCTCGTATATATTTATATAAAATTTTCTTTTTAAAGTTCTACAATTTTTTATCAATTTTTGAACTATATATAGGAAGATGCAATACCGTACCCTTGATATATTATACAATTACTGAACTAAACACGCGTTTCATATTCCGTACAATCAGTATATTACACCCATATTATTTAAATCGTACAATTAAATCAACATAACCATGAAATAGACAACAAAATTTTGAATAAATTTATATATATATATTATTAAGATCTAAGTATTCACTTTTTTATGTCAAAATCTAAATTTTATTATCTACATCAAAATACATTTTTTTTTTCATATATATATTTTCTAGTTGATTCAATGGCACTAACAATAACTTCAAAGTAGGGAAGATATTGACAAAACAATTCTAATGGACGATAATATATGAAGATACCACCCAAAATGCAATATGTTTTAATGCTTGAGAAAAACATTTTTAACGATTTTGAAATTGTTTTAAAATTCTAATAAAATATCGATGTCTTGCAAAACACAAGTACAACAATTGCGATATTCTCAAAATATTCATCAGGACGTGCATTTGCGAAAACCCGCACAGACGTGGTACTACAAGCATAAACGTAGTAAACATCTAACCATCTGCAATATATCACCTAAGAATATACATCCAAAATTATTGGAAAGCTAACAATAGTTTTGTCAAAATTTTTAGTTCATATGCACAACAATTGCAGTATTTTAAATTAACGTTTTGTTAAATTATTAAATTAAAAAAGGATACAAGTACACTGTGAAAAATGGCGCACAATAATCACAACTTCCAATTGCCCGATCATTTCATAGAACTCTTTAGGAATGGTAATTTCGTAGATCCAGACGAAGATGCAGCAATACAATCAAATCAACTTAATGCTAATGATGATACGACTGTGGCTTGGGTGTTTGGGTATGGATCTCTTTGTTGGTTTCCAGGCTTTGACTTCAGCAAATGTATAACTGGATATATACGCGGATATTCAAGGAGATTTTGGCAAGGGAATACAACACACCGCGGTACTGAAGAAAAGGTTAGTATTTTGAATGTGTAATATTTAATATAACTTTCAGCTAAATTATGTATTATTATTAATTGATTTATTGTTATTAAATTTAATAATATTTTAATTAATTATATATTCGTAATATAATTATTTATCCTATATCTTACAAAATTATATAGTTTTATTTAGAATTAAATAAAACTTAATGTAATACATTGTATAATGTTGTTTAGATATCCACAAGTAAATAAATTGTTATTATCATATTTATTGCAATGTCATGATAAATTATTAATTTATTACTAACGACGTGATTTGTTAATATTACTAGCAACTTAAATCAATTAACAATAATTTACAAATTAAATTTATTTCAAATTAATGCAATAACCTATTCCATACGTAATTAAGACATTTCTTTACGTGTAATATATGTCTGCATTCTGAAATTCTATAATTAATACTATTATTAACATATAAACTTAAACGTGTCTACGGTTGTAAATCTATTTTTATTAATTATAATGAAATAATAAAGCAATTAATAAATAAACAATTTTATTCAATATATATTATTGGGGCCTTCATAACTATAAAACCGCATAGGCCTTGCATAAGTATTACTCTTACATATGAAATAATGGTATGTAAATCCTTTGCTTTATATGTAATTAAATTTTTGGTGAACATTTTTTAAAAATTGTTGTCTAAGTAATTGCGTTAATATATTTATTTTATATAATATATTAATTTATGTGTACATCAAAAAATTGAATAAAATTTTTATTGTTTTGCAAAATAAACGTGAGCCAACAAAGACGACCTTTTTACATGAAGCGAAAGTAATGCGAAGATATCTGTCATTCTTTTTAAGTCAAGGCCGCAATAAGAAAGAAAACAAAAAATTTTGTTTTATTAATTCCATTATTCTTTATATATTATAAATATTTACATACTTACGTATACAAACAATATGTTATTATTATTTATTTTATTAATTTATATATTATTGTTTTTTTTTGCTTACAGCCCGGACGTGTCGCTACACTCATTGAGGACAAAGAAGTAAGTAATATATTTATACACTATTCATGTCGTACATAAATACATACCATATATATATAGACAATTTCTACAAAAATCATGATCGAAATATTTTAATATTTCTCCCTACTATTCATTCTCTCGGAATGGTCTCAAAACTATAAAAATTATTTGCTAAAAATATCGAAAACTTGTGATTTAGGTAATGTGGATTTAATTAAAAGTGTTGTGATAGTTTCCATGTCAATTGTTAGCGCCGATCAATAAATAATTAGTTAGCTAATCAACTATATCCATGAATTCATAATTTGAACGGCTTATAAATCTTCCAAAGACGGAATCAAAGAAAAAATCTTAAAAAAGTAGATGATAGCCTCATTTTAGGAATATAGCAGTGACCACTATCTAAGGGACTATGTCCGTGAATTCACAATGAGAACGGCTTTTAAATCTCCTAACGACAAAATCAAAGAAACCTGAAAGTAACATGTTGTCAGTATCAATATTATGATCGATTGTCGGTATGATTGATATGTACTAGAACTATGGCACACAGAAGCTGGATTCAAATATCACCAAGTTCTGAAAACATGCTTTTAAAAATATTCGTAAAAGTTTAATGGCTCCGTCTTAGAAATATAGTTTTGGTGTGATTGGTATGTATTAGAACTATGGCATACAGAACCTAGATTTAAATCTCACTAAGATCTGAAAACATGCTTTCAAAAAATCTTTGAAAAATGTTTGATGGCTACACCTTAGGAACATAGCTTTAGCCACACCTTATCTCGCAAAAAATTATGCCCACTACAGAATTTAATAGGTCTATACGTGGTTTAAAATCAGACAGATTAAGATAACCTGACCTAGACTTTAGCTTCGATCCATTGAAGTGCTCAGATTTCTTCACCCAGGCTAGTGTCAACTAAGATACTCTCGCTCATTTACATCACCACAAATCATAAACAACACTCTTCTCACTCTTCTTGTTTGTTCCAAAAAACAACAACCGAAGCTAGAAGTATTATACAAAGAAAAGGAATATTTATTAGATTACCATAAAAGAAATTGTGTATAATAATAAAAAGAAACTATGCTATTTATACCATTTTATTATATCAATTTAGAAATATCTAAATAATTTATCTAATTTAATTTTCAGGGTATTACTTGGGGATGCGCATACAAAATTTCTGGCAATACTGCTTTGGAATATTTAAAACAGAGGGAGTGCACCCTAGGTAAATAATACTAAAATATATATAAAGAAATAATGATATTATATTTGTTTATAATTGCATTTATATTATAAATAAAATAATCAAAAACTGTATAAATATTATAAATTCCATAATAACCACAATATATATTTTCTTTCAGGTGGTTACGCTACTATTGAAACAAAGTTCTATCCCCGTGTTGCTTCTTATGACACTCCATTCAGTGGTGAGGCAGTTGAAGTGTTAATGTACATCGCAACTCCAACTAATGTGCATTGGCTAGGCGAAGACACACCACAAAATATAGCAACACAAATTGTGGAATGCTCTGGTTCAACTGGACACAATGTGGAATATTTAATACGTCTCGCAATATTCATGCGAGAAGAAATTCCGGATGCTGAAGATGGAAATTTATTTGAGTTAGAATATTTAGTTTTAGAAGAATTACAAAAACGACAAATACCACTTTGGTCAGTAATGGGCGCAAATCCAGAGCGTATACGCAGAGACTCCCATGAGAATATCAGACGTCCACCATCATTCGAATTCACATCGCGCATAGTTGAACGTAAACTTCGTTGCTTAAATATTTAATGAAATGATCACACTATGTAGACCTCTTCGGCATCACTTCAGTTGTCCATCAGAATTTTCATCATATTAGGAGCAGCTGAAGTCTTTAAGTTGTTTTAAATATATAAAAAACCATAGTTCGTATTATCATTGAGGCGGCAATTATAGTTAATTGCAAAGAATTGTTGTGAAAATATTAGACGTGGAATAATAATTTACGTCTAGAATTATTGAGCTTAAATCTTATTGGAAGTCTAAGCAATGCCATTGGATTCACGTTTTACTTTTATAAGACCTATGATGGATTGTATCCTGAACAAGGTAGCTAATAACCAAACGCACAATTTTATATTTTTTTAAGGATGGAAGTCTATATGTACCATACGTTAAATATATGCAACAATTCTCCTTAAAGTATCGAACCTCTATCATCATTTGAGTCGACATAATAACTATAATCAACTAACCATAAGACATTTTAACTGAATAACAATATTGGAGAAAATCAGAATTCTGCAATATTGGCTGTTTTTCAAACGAATTCTCATCTGACTTCAAGTATCCACGAAATTTACAAACGGATTCGCTGAACAAAACCCTCATTGCTTAAATATTAACAAACAATTAACGCAGTTTGAGTTATATAGCTTAATGATACTTTTCCAAGGACTTTTATAAAAATATAAGACAACTATCTTCAGTTCAATCAATGTCCTTTTAGCATAACTAATTGCAAACTGCGTTGCTTAAATATTTTTAAGAAACGCAGTTCGTACTAACCACTCAGCGCCTTTTGCAGTCTCTAATAAATATATATACCTATAAGTTATTGTCATCTATTTCTTACGAAAATATTCATACCAAATTTTAGTTTAATATCTCTTTAGATTTAGAATTGTATGTTTCGAATTAGTCAGAAAAACAATGAAACTATTTTTATGAAAATTATAACTTAAATTATTCTAAGAGTACTAATAAATTGAAAGTGATACTATTATTCGATAAGTAACAATTAGAATATATAAGACTATTTTATAGAATTTGATATTCATTCAAAAAATGCTAACAAAATTATACATAAATACTCCAAATGAATCACAACCAATAAACAAACATATAAAACCAAACTATTCTTGTTTCTTTATACAAAATTTGGAATTCAAATGGATTATTAAAGATTATTTGTAAAATGTGTTTACATAAATATTTGTATTTTTATTAATTTGATGAAACAGCTGTAGCGAAACATTGTAAAAAAAAATAAACTTAAAACTTAGTGAACTATGTGGTGAGAATTTCAGCAGCACGACTTTCCATGAGTTTCTCCATTGAAGTAATGGATGCCATCCAGTCGTCAACTGTTTTTGCCATTGAAACGATTTGCTTGCGATCCAGTACGCGAGGTTGAACCTGATAAAAAACAAATATAATAAAAAATTTTAATACAATGTATCTTTATTGAAATTAAAATTTAGTTAGTTAAAAGGCATTATATAGAATTTGAAAATAAAAACCTAACAAAATCATATTTAAAGTAGCAAAGCAGCTACTGATAAAAAACCTTTATCATAAATGTACATCTCTTTTAACTATACAGTGCTACAACTCCCCAGTTTTCCTTTGTTTTACAAAATATGCCCTTTTAAACGATTAGTTCTCAGAACCGATACCGTAAATATCCGCTTAAAGAGGTTTCACTATATATAAAATGTTTTATACACAATATATATTACTGTATTGTTATATTATTATTATTATTATAAATCACAATTATTATATATTTTTATTATTATATATTACTATCAAACTCATTTATGTTCCTGACCACAGGGATCTCTCGGGGAATTGTAGGACAGACGACCTCGCAAAGGCAGGCGCTCTTCACCCTAACATTAACTTCTCAGATATAGGCGTTCCACTTGCTACAGATAAACTGACAATTAAACAAAATTACCTGAGCATAGCCAAGCAATACTGGGCTGACGAACCTCAATGTCAGATTTCTAGGTTGACTTTGTCTAATTTAGACAAGAAAATAACTAGTCAGCTACTTCAACTAAGACGGAACCTGTTCAGCACCACGGTATCTGTGCTGACGGGACACTGTGTAATAGGAAGACATGCTATGAGACTGGGTCTTTCCTTTAATGATTTTTGTCGAAGTTGTGGCCTTGAGCACAAGTGGACTTTTTGAGATACAAAGCCGCCACTCCAACCTACCTATCTATATATTACTAATATTATATATGTGAGAACTGTTTAACTATAAATAGCCAATAATATGTAGTTTAGTGTTATCTACGAAATACTTTTTTAAAATTTGAAAGGTTGACATCCTTAACAACAGATACAATCTTGCAAAGGTATCAATGGTATGGTATCAGGGTTGAATAAGAAAATAAAAATATAGAGCTATCAATAATTATAGTAAATATAAATAATTACTATACTCACCCAAGACATATTAACTACACCGGCAACCTGATCAATTTCGCCACGCACTAAATTTTGTGCTAATGCTTTCATAATAAGCAATTCAATATCGCTCAGCTGTAAATTTGTTTCTGCAGCAATATCTTCAAACTTAATTGAACGCTCAGTAGCTTTGCGTTTGAATGTCATTTCCATTAGGCAAAGCAGGGAGATTTTTTGACGCAATTTAATTTCTTGAGCAGCTAAATCCGGAATTTTAGACCAAATTTTTTTCATGTCATTAAATCTAAAAAATATTTCAATATAAGTTCAACGAGATTAAAACATATGCATGTTAGATAGAAAGTATCTTTCTTCAAGTAAAGAGACAAGACTTTTCATCTAACATTGTGTATTGATATTATTTCATATTTACTTTTTTATGTCGCCGGAATTAAATGCATTCAATAATTCAACTAACCATTCATTTTCAGTACCCTTCAATGAAGTTAATATGGGATGTGCTAGCTAAAATAAAGTATGATTTATAAGAAAATTTATGAAAGCAATTAGTAAAATAAAATATTTTACCAATTCGCCAATATTATAAATGCCATCGCCCAATAGTGCCGCTAAACCAAGGAAAAATGCTTGTTGTGGCCATTGATCTTTTGGGTAGTCATTCATAGAACAACCTAAGAATTGCAGTCCACAACGGTAATAATCACTGTGTTTGCCAACGCGACGATAATACTGCGATGCGAGCATAAAGTATTTGCCATGCACAGGTGTGACATTACCAGCTTCTTCAAGTATATCACGCAGTTCTTCAATTATTTTCTTGGTGGCAGTTAAATCGTTCAAATTGGTAAGGTAAATATTGCCTTGCATAACCTGCAAAATTAACATTTTTATATTATTATATTGTTACTGAGAGAAGATTACTATCACTCAAACCTGTATATAAAGCACAGCTTCATCGCAAATTTTCACTTTCTCCTTTAACTTTTCAAGAAATTCTACTGCCTGAGTCTTATCTGAAATATGATCAACAAATACCTCGAGAATGCGTACCAAACCATAAGGATTTATTCTGCAAAAATAATTTTCAAAACAGTCATAGAAAACATAACCTCGTTTATGTAGCGCCAAGCCAACTCTAATACTTACTTTGTTTCGAAGGTTGATATGAAATTAGTGTACAATTGCATTAACGTGTCTTCATCCTGTAGCGTTGGATTATGTACAAACCCATTTAATTTAATAGTCAACTCATTCCACAATCTAAATTTGAATAACATATATATATTAATATTAATAAATTTAATATGCTTCTTGATATTCTCGTACTTCTCATTGTACAATTCTTCTATTGTAGTCCATTCTGCTGCCAAATCCTTATTTGCCGTTTTCTTTTGTGCTGCTAGGTAAGCAGTTACGTTTGCAGTGCCTGAAGACATTATTTGACGAAATTATTTAATACTTTTTAAAAGAAATTTTCTACTTTATGGAGATGAACCAACCAAACCAAATTTTTGCAAATCACAAATCGCCGACGCAAACGTCAAATATATTCGAATATGATGACAGATATGTTCGAAATAATTTAAAGTGCGAATGGTTTGTTCGTAAATTTTCTAATATCAATATTAATATAACATTTACATAACATTAATATTAAATTTTATATATCAGTGGATATATAAATTTACAAAATTTTATATTAAGTTTACCCTAAAAACTAACGAAACATAGCACATATTGCTACATATATATTTAGTTAAAGGAAAATACATAAGATATCTTTTTTATGGCATGTGTTAGTTCGAATAAATTGAAATAAAATAAATTTAAATTTTCTAAGGATTTTTTGCACTGTACTTATGTAAATATTTATTTGTCTATTTATTGTACTTATTTATTATTTTTGATTAAAAGTTTTCAAATTTATACATATATATTAAACATCTTATAAAATTTTCACAATGATAATACCTAAATTACCTAATTTTTATCTAAATTACAATACTCGAAATACCAACATTCGCTGCCAAATCGACATAATTTATTATTTGCTTCAATTTACTATCAGTTTACTCGAACTCGCACACGGCCTGAAATAGGTTAGATTGTATAAATCTGTCTAATCGTAAACTACATGGTGGAGAGCAATAACAAATAGAGTTAAATCTCAGAAAAAAGTCTTACTCTGAAGATTGCGGTCAGAAGATTGAATTATTTCAGATATGTCCCATAACGGCATGAAACGTAACCACATCTTTTCGTTCACTTATATCTTTTGAAAAAAATCGGTTATAGAGATTATTAAAGAAATTCTTTAAAAACGGATCAAATTTTTACAACACATTAAATGATATAGTTTAAGAGCTATGTTAGTTAAGTCAAATATTTCATTATTATTCTTTACAAAACTCCCCAGAATTTATTCAGAATCAATATTAATTTTACACAGTTTAATAAATATAGTACTACAAATATGCCACATATCACGTTGCTGTGATATGCAACATCGCACCAAATTGTAAGTAAAGTTCTATAGTATAGCAACTTATGGAATACAGTCGTCAGTTGCTGTAGTTTAATCGTAATTCAATTAATAATAATTTGTTACTACTCTAGTAGTTGGAGCGGTAACATTATACTTCCATGATTTAATTTTTTTCTTACTGACGTAACAGTGTTATTATCTTGTAAGAGTCCGGACTAAAGATAAGTTCATAGACTTGTCAGATTAGTTCACTTTCACTTGCAAAAAGAAATTGTACATTTTAGCATTATTCTTTTAGCTTGTGTAGGAACAGTGCAAATCTGTAGTATCAGAACACTCTAACCTAACCTAAACTTGGTTTAATATAAAAATAACTAAACTTAATTTAAAATAGTCAATGGATTAAGCACAAAATTTGACATTTCAAATTGTACCTAAATTTAATTATTTAATTATTAATTAATGCACTTCTCATTAAACTTGATATTTATTTATAATCATATTTGTAAATTTAAATTATGATTTGTATTAACTTTATTTTAACTCTGATTGTATTAATGTGTTAAATATAACATCCATTGAATTTTGTATGTTTTAATATGTCAAATTAGTTTACAGTTGGTTAAAAGTTTTGAACGCCATCTGGCGCATAAAGAATTCATTTTCAAACTAATATTTTCTGTACAATGACCTTAAAGAAGTCACAACAAAACACAGCTGACTGTTTGCTACTCTGCTTTCGTGGATTTTTCAGTCATTGCTTTTCCTACACAGCTCACTCTGTTTCCAGATTTAGTAAAAGTCGGTTGTTTTTCGGTAAAATAATATTTTGAAGTAACCAAAATAACAAAAATATTAATAAATTTCATCTATATCATACAATTAATGAAATAAATAAAGTTGAATACAAATAAATAATTGCAAAAAGAAAGTATTGAGTGAGTTTCGTGCATATTTTGACTTTTTGCCTATTTATCAAAACAGCTGTCTCTGAAGTGGCTTATCGAGAAAATAAATATATACACAAAAACATAATTTGATATATATTTTAATAAAAGGATAACTTTTCGATTTAAATATCCTGCGTTCATAATAACAAAAACAAATAAACAATGTATTAAACGCGGCAAAATAAAACTTAAACTACACATCAGTCAATTAAAGAAGTTTGTTTAACAAAGGAAACGTGACCAAGTAAACATAAAA